CAAGTAAAATGTTCTTACTCCACTGGCAGAAATGTTTGACTTAATTAGAGTCAAATTTTCAGACTAACAAGACAAGTAATCTTACACATTCTGAAAACAAGATCAAAAAGACTTTTTGGCTGATATAAGGTTTAAAACTTGGTGACAGTTTTTGTAATGTGATAGACCTGATCTCAGAAAATATCCTGATCAGTTTTTATTATTCATTTCATTTCATTCATAAAAATAACAAAATGTCCATTAAAAAAGAAAGTATGAAAGGCGAGTAGAAGGAAAAAAATCTTACATCTGCCGTTATTAAAAAACAACTTCAAACAAATAAATTAAACTTTGAGAATATGAGTGATAATATCTCCCCTCTGGCCTGTGCTTACACAAATGAAATGTTTGGACGTAAAAATGTTAGCTTTAGGTTTGTCTTCACACCATAACTGCAGTCACCCTCACACTACTTACAAAGTTTACATAGCGTATTAAAAACAACTTCCTGTGAAGCCAAGGTTCTGCACGGAGCACAGAGTGTGAAACATGGAGCTAAAYCTTTGTGTGGTAGTAGCTGAGAGTCACTCCCAACACACACTGTGAACTAATGTGTGTGAGGTCACACGGTTTAAACRTGCGCTCTGTTTCCAGGCTGCGACAGCGACTTCTGGGGCCCCCACTGCACCAACCGCTGTCAGTGCCGCAACGGYGCCAAGTGCAACCCGATCACGGGGGCGTGCGTCTGCACCGACGGCTTCCAGGGCTGGCGCTGCGAGGAGCACTGTGAGCCCAGCTTCTACGGAAAAGACTGCCAGCAGGAGTGCCAGTGTCTGAACGGAGCCACCTGCCAGCATCAGACYGGAGAGTGCCTCTGTGCTCCCGGGTACACCGGAGTCTTGTGAGTTATTTACTCACGGATCTGACATGTTCCTGTCAGAACGGCCCGGTTTGTGAAGACAGTCAGCTGGTGTTCATCTTCAGAGTGAAACTGCAGCTTTGTGTCATCACTACATTCATACAGAGCAGCTTGTGACTTTTTTTATTAATWCTAACAATGTAGGCCTTCCAGCACCAAATCATGGTGTTACATAAAACCTTCAAAACAAAGGCAGGGGACTTTTATTTTGTAGAGGTTGTCCAAATTCTCATCTATGGCATGGTGTAATGGATTAAATTAGCACAACCAGTGGTTGCTACATCCTTGTAGCAGGAGGCTACATCTGTTCCTAAACCAGCCAGTGATCTGATTAATGATTGGCYGACACCGCTAACTGAGAGGCTGGAGCTGGCAAATGAGAAGGAGACTCTTCATTTGAGTTAGCATCAGAGAGGCTAGCAACTAGCATAGATAGGTTGGCATTAGCATCAGAGATGCTAGCAACTAGCACAGATAGGGTCCCCAGTGCTAACACAAATGGATATTCACATTCTCATTTACCTTAATGAGAATCCTTAAGTCTTAATTTTGTCCCTCACACTGCACCRTACTCACCCAGGACAACCAGCCTTTCCTAAAGTTTCCATCTCTCTTGATCATGGTGAACAATGAGCTTCATTTATTAACCTTCATAATTAGACAAACCTTTCAGAAACCACAGGTCCTTTCTATAGACAGGTTCCTACAGGTAGACAGGTCCTACAGGTAGACAGGTTCTACAGGTAGACAGGTTCCTACAGGTAGACAGGTCCTACAGGTAGACAGGTTCTACAGGTAGACAGGTTCTACAGGTAGACAGGTTCCTACAGGTAGACAGGTTCTACAGGTAGACAGGTCCTACAGGTAGACAGGTCCTGCAGGTAGACAGGTCCTGCAGGTAGACAGGTCCTACAGGTAGACAGGTCCTGCAGGTAGACAGGTCCTGCAGGTAGACAGGTCCTACAGGTAGACAGGTCCTACAGGTAGACAGGTTCCTGCAGGTAGACAGGTCCTACAGGTAGACAGGTTCCTACAGGTAGACAGGTCCTACAGGTAGACAGGTTCCTGCAGGTAGACAGGTCCTACAGGTAGACAGGTTCCTACAGGTAGACAGGTCCTACAGGTAGACAGGTTCCTGCAGGTAGACAGGTCCTACAGGTAGACAGGTTCCTACAGGTAGACAGGTCCTACAGGTAGACAGGTTCCTGCAGGTAGACAGGTCCTACAGGTAGACAGGTTCCTACAGGTAGACAGGTCCTACAGGTAGACAGGTTCCTGCAGGTAGACAGGTCNCGTGTCCCCACGTGTCTCCACACGTCCCCACGTGTCCCCACGTGTCCCCACATGTCCCCACGTGTCCCCACATGTCTCCACATGTCCCACATGTCCTCACATGTTCCCACATGTCCCCACGTGTCCCCACGTGTTCCCACATGTCCCCACATGTCCTCACATGTCCCCACATGTCCAGTCAAGCAGCTCTGCTGGCAGACAGGATCCTGAATGAATCGGGTCAGAACCTTCAGAACATCATCAGTGACATGAAAACTTCATGTTGCAGCTTTATGTGTTGATCAGGCAGAAGTAATCAATTATCCAGCCTATATGATGGAGTGTATGGGCCTGCACTGCTTTGTCCC